GAAGTAAACAGAATGAATTATCTCCCAAAGAGACAGTGATTTTCCAGACAAATGGCCAACAGGAATGACAACTTTGTTTTTCCCAAATTCTTCCTTAATCTCAACCTCAGAGATGATTTTTTGTGATTTCTCTTGTGTTTTCCCTTTTTCGGCAACTGGAAGAAGTAAAAGACCAGTATGGGGATCCTTTATGCATCGTTTGATCATCTCCATGTAAGTAAGATTTTCTTGTGTGGTGGGATCAAAAAATCCTTTAGTGTCATCGGTTTGATCAGCAAGTATCTGGTTTAAGTCTGAATCAAAATAACCCTTCTGGAAAGCAACATCAAGTGGCAAATGTAAACATGTTAAGGGATCAATGATGCCACCTGTTGCAATCTGGGCTTCAAGCAGACGAATGCCATGCTGCTTTACAATAAGTTCTTTCTTGATTGCTTCGAAAAGTGATATTGTCTTGCCTGTGTATGGGTCTTTGTAACCAGTCACTGCTTTCTCTGCAGCCAGGAGTTTTTCATACAACTCTGGAACTATGATTTTCTGCTTCAGTGCCTCATCTACGGTGAGTTTCTTGTTTTGTATTGGATCAATAATAAACCCAGTGGCAGCCTGTGCTTCAAGAAGACACAGGGCAGTGCCAGGGGTAAGATGGCCTTCTTTTCTGGCTTTGTAGATGCTCATTTTCTGATTAGACTTTTCTAATATTACACCTGCTATACAGCTTGTTCCGCTGAGGAAGTTTCTCAAAGTGCCTGTCTCAATGAGATCTTTGATTGTCAGCCTCCCCTCAATAACATTTTTGTATTGATTTTCATCTATTATCCCCAAATTCAGTAGCTCCAAAATGGAAACTTTTCCCCTGAGACCATCTACACTGAGGTCAGCATTTCTTTGTACTTCTTTGCGCTCAATGATCTCTAGAACTGTTGTGATGATTTCTTCAATTGTGATTGCTTTTGACTTGTAACATTTTAACAGCTCCTGTCTTTTCTCCTCAGACAAATATTCTGAGTTGATGAGATCCCAGAGTGTCACTTTCTTGCCGCTGAATCTGCCATATCTCACAGATACATACGTGGTGTTGAAGGCCTCTTTGGTGCTGTCCCCTATCTTGACTCTCCTGTCGTTCCCTTTGATTGTCAAAAGGCAAAGGCCCGTGCTTTGGTCAGTGACACACCTGGACATAAGCTGCATATAGGTAAGGTTTTCATGACTGTTTGGGTCAAAGAAACCTTTTGTGTCATCAGTTGGATCACAAAGGGTCTGATTCATTTCACTATCAAAGAATCCTCGTTTATAAGCAATATGAACTGGAATGCGATGGCTATTTACCGGATCAATAATGCCCCCTGTGGCAATCTGGGCCTCTAGTAGACGTATACCATGATCTTTCACAATTAAATCTTTTTTCATTGCTTGGAACAATGAGATTTTCTTGCCAGTGTATGGATCGTGGTAACCTGTCACTGCCTTCTCTGCTGAGGATAGTTTTGCATGAAGATCCGCCCCTACCACCCGTGCCTTCACTGCATCATCTACAGAGAACTTTAGATTAGCAATTGGGTCAATTATGTATCCTGTTGCAGCCTGGGCTTCAAGAAGAACAAGTGATGTTCCTGGCCTCAGAATCCCTTTTTGTCGGGCTTGGTAGATTGACATCACTTGTGAGTCAGGAAGCAGCACTCCAGCAATGCTTGGTTTGCCTTGTAGATATGTATGCACAGATACATTCTCCGTAACATCTTTGACAGTCTTTTTTCCTTCTCTGAGATCTTCTAGATCGTGCTCTGTGATGATATCGGCCTCAAAGAGCTGGTTTGCACTTACTTTTTCCCTTATACCTTCAAAAACTACTTTGGTTGTTTTCACCGAATGCTCAATGATCTCCAGGACTTTAGTGACTATAAATTCAATCGTGACTGTTCTGGTTCTGTATTGCTGGATAAAGTCTAGCCTTTGCTGCTCAGTGAAGTATTCAGACATAAGTAATTCCCAGAGTGAAACAGTCATTCCAATGTATTTTCCACGTGTCACTTTCACCATGACACCCTTGAATACTTTTTTGATGTCAAAGCCAATGAATGTGTGATTCGGACTCCCAGATGCATCCTGAATGGGCAACAATGTAAGTCCTGTAGAAGAGTCAATGACACAATGATCAAGCAGTTGTAGATATGTCAGATTTTCCTTTGTGTTTGGGTCAAAGAATCCTTTAGTGTCATCTTCAGGATCCTTAAGGATGGCATTCATTTCCTCATCAAAGAAGCCACGCTTGTATGCTACATCCACAGGAACTCTATGACTGTATATGGGGTCAATAATTCCACCTGTTGCGATTTGTGCTTCAAGCAAGCGGATTCCATGCTCCTTCACAATCAGTTCCTTCTTCAGAGCTTGAAAAAGAGAAATGGTTTCACCAGTGTATGGGTCCTTGTAACCAGTAACTGCGCGTTCTGCTGCAAGCAATTTTGCATGGTATTCTGGTCCTACAAGTTTTTGTTTAATGGCTTCATCTACCGTGTATGTCTTGTTTTCAACTGGGTCAATCATAAATCCAGTTGCAGCCTGTGCTTCGAGCAGAATCAAAGCAGAACCAGCCATGATTATTCCTTGTCTCATTGCCTGATAGATACTCATTTTCTTATTTGTGGAGAGCACAGCTACTCCCCAATGCTAGTTTGTCCTTCTAGATATTCTTTCACCGTTTCCATTAACATCACCTCCTGGGTGGTGGTTTTACCATCATGTAGATTTTCAAATGTCTGTTGGTCAATTATTTTTGATGCCAGAAGCTCAGCAGAGGTTACACCTCTGCGGAGGCCTTTAAATGTGATGTACATTGGGAAGAGCAGTAAACCTGTGTCTGGGGCTACTGTGCATTTCTTTATCAGCGATGGATAGGTGAGGTTTTGCTGAGAGTTTGGGTCATAGAATATTCTTAGATCATCCATCTTGTCTCTGAAAAGATCTTTGTCATAGTGACCTCGTCCATTGGCTTGTTCTTCTGTTAGGTAGCATTTTTCAATAGGGTCATAGATCCCTTTGCCAGAGATCTGCGCCTCAAGCAGTCTAATGCCATACTCTTTTGGAATGACATCTTTCTGCATGGCCTGGAAGAGTGAGATTTGTTGGTTGGTGTAAGGATCTGTGTAGCCCGTGATGGCCCTCTCAGCAAATTGAAGTTTCTCTTTCATTTCGCGTCCCACAATGCCTTCCTTTACCGCATCGTCTACGGTGCATATCCTGTTTTTGACTGGGTCGATGATTCCTCCTGTTGCAGCTTGGGCTTCTAACAGTGCCAGACATGTTCCTGGAGTCAACAAGCGTTTCTTGTAGGCTTGGTATATTGTAATGGTTTCATTTGAGTGTTCAAGAAACACCCCAGCTACTGGCCCCTGAGAATTGCAGTTTTCCTGAGCTGGCATTTTTTTTTGGTTATTTTCTGCTCCCGCTTCTGTGGATTACATAAAAATATTTATTAGCAATGCATTAAAAAAAAATTTTCCTGATACTTTTAAGTTAGTCATATGTTTTTGTTTACTGTACACTGTAAAAAACGTTTTAATTTTTAAAGAAAAATACTAAAAATATTAACAGCAAAAACATGTTAACTGGTTATCTGCTTTTGCAAGAAAAAAAAACTATTTTTAACTAATTAGCACATCATTTATGGTAAAAAAAAAAAGCAACAACAACAGTAAAAGGACATTCCCAGAAGTCCCTGAATTACACATCACACATGATATATATATATATATATATATATATATATGATTATATATATGTCTCTTCTTATATGTGTCATCAGTGATGTAAATTGTGTTAAATTTTATGTTAATTCATTTAACATATATTTCATTACTTTTGTGTCACGTGTGTTACCCATGGTGTTTTGTCTTTGCATGACCCTGTTCACCATCCACAGGTATTTATGAATACTGACCATGTTGAACAGGCTGCTTATGATGAACACAGATTCATCATGTAGCTTTCTATTGTTTCACCTGGATTATTGTGGTGTTATCAGGACATTTTAAGGTAAAAAGGCAGAATTTGGCAGTTTGGTACCCTAGAAGTAGGTATATTAATATTATATTACTTAATTAAATATACTGTTCTAAGTTGTAAAATTGTCATAGCATTGTTTATGGTAAATTTATGGCAACCACAGCTGCCAGGTTTTGTTTTACACTAAAATTAACAGGATATTTTTTACAGTGTAGAAAAAGCACATGGCAAACCTGTGTAGTGCAGGTACACCACAGAAAACCTTAACTCAAAGATGTCAAAACTTGGGTTTCTGCTAACAATGAAAGCACAGTTCACCTTTATCATGACTTGTTATGACAAGAAAAAACGTTTTGAGCATTGCATCATTTGGAAAGTTTCTTGCATTAACACTGTAAGCAATGGAAAACTGGAAATACAGGATGCTGATGTACTTTTAAAGAATGTTGGAATCAATGACCCAGACAAGCTTTTTACAGTACTTGTCAGTTACACAATCGTGCACAAAAAGGGCATTTTCCTCTCTCCCTCTCCCCCCTCTCCCCCCCCTCTCTCAGTATTATATGTGTAAACTTTTTGTTGTTGCACAGTTGCATAAAATGATACATTTTCTGACATTCACTTAAGCCATGATGTCGCTCATCCATACAGACACATCCTGAAATGTAAATAGCAGTGCGTTAATAAAAGTGAATAAAGTGCTTTAGCTTTTTTAGCTAACTTTAATTTTTTTAGTTTTTATTTCGATATTTCAAAAGTAGTGGAAACATTCAATTACAAATCAAAGCATTAAACAAATTTTACGTTATTTTTATTTTTTACAGGAAGCAAAGAAAAGGAGCTGGCCACTCCGTTAGCCCAGTCTTTTTTGTCTTGAATCAAAATGTTGCCCTTTTTTTTGGAGTCATTGTCTTGTTGAAACATGCAGGGTGTCAATGACCACTAAACTCGAAAACAACAATTTAACTCTCGTCTTTCCACAGAATTTATGCCATTCTCTTTGGGCCAATGGACGTGCTCCTTGGCAAATTTGAACCGATTCTGTACACGCCGTGAGGCAACATGGACAAGTCGGTTCCACAGCTTCTCCGAGAAGCTGCACAAGCAATAGAGCGACAAAGTGCAAATGCTACCCCTTTAGAAAGGCCATCATCCAGCTTAAGCAACGACCCCCCCCCCCCCCCTCCAAAGAGTGGCATAGAGAGAAACAACACAACAACACAACTTAAGCCCCACCTTGATGCAGTGATTGACAGGCCAGGAGGGGGCGTGATCGGCTCAGAATGCATTTTCAATGTGCACATTACATTCAATGCAAGACATTTCATTAAAATGCAATCACAAGTGACTGAGTGTAAATGCAATTAAGAAAAATAACATTTGAATTATCATTTTGCCACAGTTTTTGCTTGAACATGTTAGGCTACACATATCTTATCATTTCTGTAATAACTCATCAAAACTATTGTATGAAATGGCAAATGTAAATTATGTAATTTCATTTTCATTTTGCACCAAACCTTTCTAGAATGGTAATGTAAAATACAAATTTAAACACAGAATGCAATTCCATTTTACATATTACATTGTCATTTTGCATATTACATTTCAAATTGAATATTGCTACTCATAGGCTATGCTTCCATAACCTACAGGTAATTGTAGATAATCGTTGAATTTTAGATCATCTGCAAGTAAATTATTTGAAATGCAGAAATATCACTAGTAATAACACTGGTTCATCAGGTTGGATTTGTACTGTTAGCAGAATTTTAATTGAAATTAAAATTTAAGGACCTGACATCCTTCAGTAAACACTGAATGTTTTATGCAAAATCTTGTGCAAGTAATGTTTGCTTTGCAGCAGTGAGACTGTATAACTAAGATATGTAATCAGCCTTTAAAAAAAAAAAAAAAAAAAAACTTGCACAATGAAAAGGGTTGCTAATGGCCCCTTCCTGTCCAAATTCCTTGGATGCAGACTTAGGGAGTTCTGAATTAGGACTTCTGAAACCATATAAGGTCACGTGACACTTTCTTAAAGAGCACTCAAATGAACACAAGTTCACTTTTTGTATAGCTGTTTATACAGTGCATTATAAGTTTATTTTTATTGAATCATAAAGGTATTGTAGATGACACAATCTTTCGATAAATGGCTACACTATTTTTACTTTTGTCATTCATCTGAGTTTCAACATTTGTGAGTTTTGAGGTTCATTTATATAAATTTGTGTGTCTGGTTTGACATGGTATTATGTTGAATATCATAGTTTACCCGTATAGTGTTATTATTTTAAAATGTAATAATTAATGGGGTTATGAATTAGATGAACATTTCATAATTTTGCAATTATTGCTATTAAGACATATCTTCAAGAAAAATATAAATTAAATAAGTAAATATGAAGAGTTCAGATGCAAAAGCCTCTAAATGCCATTTGAAATTTTCTTCTTTAATGATGATTTTTTTTTTATCAAACTTGTATATTTAAGTTCAGTAATTACAATTAATAATTACCTATTAATTGTTATTTAAGTGAAATTACTGAACTTAAATATACAAGTTTGATAAAAATCATCATTAAAGAAGAAAATTTCAAATGGCATTTAGAGGCTTTTGCATCTGAACTCTTCATATTCAAGTCAATTTTATCTTTCAGGTAAATCTCATTGTCTGTCATCGGTTATTCAATTATCAACTAAATCGTGAAAATATTTTACATTAATGACACTTTAATATTATTGATAATAATATAAAAAGGAATTTATACATTCTATAAAAGTTTTGCCATTTTTATGCTATAACAACTCAATTAGCAAATGTTTCTATTTACTTTCTACATTGGTACTATCATTATGCACATGCTAAACCTATATGTTACAATTTGAAGGTAAGTCCACATCTTCCCCAATCCATTTTCCTCCACGAAGTTTTTAAACCCAAATTATAAATTATATTATTTTTTGACCATGGTTCAATGGTGTGATGCATAATAATGCAGATTGACTGTACTGTACTTTTAAAAACATTGAGAATGTGTTCATAATGCATTAACACAGAAAGCCTACATCCAAAATTTGGTGGATAGCTCATTTACTTGCCCCATGAAGTATGCACAATTCATTATTTACTTTCTTGTTTTTTTTAGACTTATTCATTTGAAAGTCACTTTTGATTAAAACAATTCTAAACTCATAATGTAATGTTTACTGTACCAATCCTCTTGCCTAAAAAGTAGATTACATTATATAACCATAAAAGTGTCCAACTGTGCACTGTTTGCAAATATTTGCACTTTGATAAACCGTTTGAACTCTTTATTGCTAAGAGGTGTGGTTGATCAAGTGAACACATGTTGAACATGACATTCTGACATACTAAATAAAGGCACACATGTTCAGGTTGCCTGAAAGTCCTTGCTTTACAATGTTACCACTGCTACTTTTTTAAAAGCAAACAACAATGCAATTTCAAAAACTCTTTAGCTTGTTATCTAAAAGACAAAAAAAAAGTTTCACAGCGAACTCATTCTTACCTCTTTCAATGTTTTCATTCAGATTCCAGTTGAGGGTGTGTTTTTTTCCTGCTCACTAAGACTTGATGTGGGTCAAGCACTCTGGGAAAACAGCAAAAGACACTAAGTATGCTTCCTTCCTTTCCTCTGTTTAATATATTGACCAGTCAGGGCCAGACTCCACCTCCATGAACACACCCACCTCTTGCTTCACACACCACCCTCTTGCATTAAACAAATGCAATCCCCCCCATACACCCCCCCAAACTGACAATGAAAACCTGTTCTCCGGAATGATCTTATCAGTGTATTTCACTCGTATTCTCTCAAGTTTGTGCACAGTTTCTGTTAATCATTTCAAATACTGTAAATTGCAATTGATGTCTTATCTCTAACACAGAAGGCATGGTCAATAACCAAGAGTCGCCTTAACTTGTAGATTAATGATTTTGTGCAAATATCCTTGAAGGAGGTGCAAGTGTCACACATTAAGACAGTATTACAGTCATTGACGGTATTAATAAATCTTATTGAACCGAATCATCACTTATCTTGCTACAGCTGCATTACAGCATCATTTGAAGTTGATATGTTTTCATCTGGATACTTTTATGAATAGAAAGTTTAAAAGAACAGAGTTGATTTGAAATAGAAATCTGTAGCAATTTATTTTTACAGTCCTGTTCCGTATGTACATATTATGTACTTATTATACAGCAATTACAATAACTGGGTTACTATAGGTACTAACCCCAAACCTAACCTCAAACTATATAGATACCATATATTACCAATGCGTTCTCATCCCAAGGCGTCATGTAACACATTTGACCATGCTTCAACATCCAACGCTTTACACCGCCGCCGACTTGAGCGTCAAAGAAGCTCTGGCTGCTCTGTCAAGGACGCTTGTAAAAAAGCAGAAAAAAGCAGAAAAAAAGCAGAAAAAGCAGGGGAAGCAGAAAAAAAAAACAAGCAATACATAAAGAAACCTTTTATAATGACAGCATTTTTATAACCGTTTTGGTCACATTTGGTCAGGAAAAAAAAGTTAGCTATTATTATTATTATTTGCGGTCAAATTGGTGTCACCATGAGCAAATTAATTGCATTCCCGCTTTAAAACGAGCGTTCGTAAATATTTCAAATAAAAGTTGCGCTTATGCGGTCCCTATAAGCAAACAACGTCATGTCATAAATGATACGAAACCAGTAGAAATCACAGCAACCGCGATGATTAGCTCTTCTTCCTTTTTCTCTGAAGAAAGGAGTATCTCATTACAATAAAATTGAGCTTCTTTCAACTTTCTGATTGACGCTCAAAACGCCCAAAACGCGACGCTGAAGGATTTCACGCTCCTTGCAGCCGAGAGAAGCCAGCTTCCATTGAAAATTAATGACTTCCGGCCGCTTTGGAAGCTCAAGTCGGCGGCGGTGTGAACGTAGTTAGGCACCCTTTAGCGTCAGTTAGATGACACTGTCCTAGGGTAACACAGTCTCATCCCAAGAAGTCATATAACTGACGTCTTGGGACGTTTTTTGACCATACGTCAATATCCGCCTTTTTAGGGCCCCCTTAAACGTCGGTAGATGACGATCCCAGGCCGTCATACAACTGACGCTTTACCTTTAACGTCAGTTAGGTGACAGGGTAGGGTAGGTTTTGGTCTTGGGTAGAGTTAGGATCCGATAACGTCATCTACGGGGGCCCTAAAAAGGCGGATATTGATGTATGGTCAAAAGACGTCCCAAGACGTCAGTTATGACGCCTTGGGAT